TAACAATAACAATAACCCAGTAAAATTCCACTACCGGAGTCTCGGGAGGGTAGTGTGTAAACAACAACCAAGTAAAATCCCGCTAGTGGGGTCTGGGAGGTTAGTGTGCTACCCAGTAAAATTCTACTAGTGGGGTCTGGAGAGGGTAGTGTGTACGCAGACCTTGCCCCTACCCCGAAGGAGTAGAGAGATTGTTTCCGAAAGACCCTCAGCTCAAGAAAAAAAAAGACAAAAGAAGACAATATTAGTATTACCACAAAAATCGTAGGAAAAATAAGAACAATATGAAATCCAGAAGACAAGGTCACATAAAATGGGAGGGGAGTAGTATTTTTTTTTTTGACAATAGAAATGGTAGTATATACAAAGAAATATTGCTACTACGGACAGACCTCTCTATAACATTATCCTTATATAATAACACTTCACTATAAAAACTAAAAATTTTAGAAACTAAGTTTAATATTATGTTATACTAATATTTATTCTCTATAACAATATATTTCCTTATACAATCCAAAAATATTCGAACTTTAATTATGTATGACGTGTCATATCACTTGGTCAGTTGGTTGTCACTTTGTCCTCATGCTAAATACTTTTCACACGCTCTCTTCATAAAAAGCCACACCACTTCTCACGCTTCATTTTGCTCTCTTCTCATCACTTTCCTGTTTTCTCGCTCCCACAGTCCCACTAAATGGACTCTCTCACTCTCATTTGTACCGCCGCTCTTCTAGCTGCCGGTGGACTTTACTGGTTCGTTTGCATCCTTGGCTCCGCCGAGGTTAAAGGTAAACGCGCCGTCCAACTTTCCGGCGGGTCCATCGAGAAAGAGAATGTCCAAGACAATTATAAACAATACTGGTCTTTCTTCCGCCGCCCTAAAGAAATCGAAACCGCCGATAAAGTCCCGGCTTTCGTCGATACGTTCTATAATCTAGTTACTGATATTTACGAATGGGGTTGGGGTCAGTCTTTTCACTTTTCCCCTTCTATCCCTGGGAAATCTCACCGTGAAGCCACACGTATTCACGAAGAAATGGCTGTAGATCTAATAGGTGTTAAGCCCGGGGCTCGCATTCTGGATGCAGGTTGCGGCGTTGGCGGGCCGATGCGGGCTATTGCGGCCCATTCACGGGCTAACGTTGTTGGCATCACAATTAATGAGTATCAGGTGAAACGAGCCCGGATGCACAACAAAAAAGCTGGCCTCGATTCCTTATGCGAAGTTGTTTGCGGCAATTTCCTGCAAATGCCCTTTCCAGACAACAGCTTCGACGGAGCTTATTCAATTGAAGCTACGTGTCACGCTCCTAAGCTTGAAGAAGTGTATAAGGAGATCTACCGGGTAATGAAACCCGGATCCCTTTACGTTTCCTATGAATGGGTCACAACCGAATTGTACAGACCCGAAGACCCGGAACATGTCGAAATTATCCACGGAATTGAAAGGGGTGACGCTTTACCAGGGCTGAGGAGTTACAAGGACATAGCTGAAGTTGCTAAGAAAGTGGGATTTGAGGTAGTGAAAGAGAAAGATTTGGCTAGACCGCCATCGAACCCGTGGTGGACGAGGCTGAAAATGGGGAGAATTGCTTACTGGAGGAACCATATTTTGGTTACGATTCTTGCTTTTCTTGGAATTGCACCAAAAGGTACAGTTGATGTGCACGAGATGTTGTTCGTGACTGCTGATTATTTGTCTAAAGGTGGTGAAAAAGGCATTTTCTCTCCTATGCATATGATTCTCTGCAGAAAACCTGAAGAGTAAAATTAAGCTCTCTTTCAAATTCTCATTAGCAGTTACAAGTATGATGTAGAGATTGACCATGGAGGTTAATTTCGCTCTGTTGTCCCTCTTTTTTTGTTTTTCTTTTTGGACGATTTAATTTAATGTCGTTTTTTTAAATTCCTATTTTCCTTTCTTTTTCTTGTTTCTAGCTTGAATATTTGGCCTCTGATATGTTAGATCTCTTTCTTTTTGCTGCTGTTTCGACCTAAAAACTAGAAAGGATCCATCTTTATTTATTACTAATTAATCACTTGGTAATTTGACAACGGTTAAAGTTATTTCCATGTGGTTTGAGACGTGGAAATAATCTCAGATATTTAGGTAAATTTGTATGCAATAAACGTTTGTGGTCCGACTCTTCCTCGATTAGACTGTTCCTCGATTAGACTGGGCTGCTTTTTTTTTTTTTTTTTTTTTTTTACGATGTCGAAATTTAATGAGTCCAATTGCTATGGTTCCAAAATTATGATATAGTCTAATTATTCAATCAAAACAGAAATTGAAGCTCATTTGCTTAACGTAGTACCATTTATGCTTGAAGAAGCAACGTCGAAACATAAAAAACGAGCGCAACACAACCCAAACCTATCTGAAACTCACTTGTGCCCCTCGGGACTCCGTCCGAACATACCAACAAGTCTCATAACATAACATGGACTTACTCNTGGTTACCTGGTAATTTCGGAATTACCGATGATGGTGCTTATTACATGTTCCTGTTTCCCACTTTCTGTGGTACTCTGATGTTTGTAGTATCTTTAGATATTTTCTAGGCTGGTGAATTAGTGGTGTTTGGTTGTGATTTCTGACTGAATTTGTTCTTTTATGTGTTTGTATGTAGTGGAATTTCTGTACATATTACGTGGCTGCTTTATTATTTGAGTAGACATTGCATGTGATTTGATTAGCTGTATGATCTACTTTCTCATTTGAGTCAGTCCCTCCCTCCCTCTTGTGGTCCTCTAGTACTTTGAAAATGAAGTCACAAATGTAGTAGTACTAACATAATTTGAGTTAGGGATTAGATCAGGTCCAGTAGATCAGCACGCAATAGTTTCATTCATGAACAAGATATTTAGATAATAAATATCCCATGGAACATAATTTGTCACTCGCTTTCATTACCTTATTATATTACTGTCGTTATTATTTGTTGCTTTATATTTATCGTTTGTTAAGCCAAGTATCTATCGGAAATAACCTCTCCGTCTTTGCAGAGTAGAAGTTAGGCTGCGTACACACTACCTTCCCATACCCCACGTATGGAATTAAGCTGAGTTTGTTGAGGTTGTAGCTGTCGTATGATGTTGAAATTCGGGAAGTTTTAGAATGCCCTGAGCTTTGGCATAGTAATAAGAGGAGTCCAAAACTTTTCTAATGCCTTTTTGGGCAAAAAATACGTTTTTACTCCAAAAAAAAAGTTACATAAATAATTAAAACACAGTATAATACTGCGTTTTACTTTAATGGAAAGTTAGCCGTTAAAGTAAAACGCAATACTATATTGCATATTATTAATAATTTTTTTTAAGGAAAACGCAGTATAATACTGCGTTTTCCTATTAATATTTGACCAGCTATATAAGTAAAACATAGTATTATACTGCATTTTGCTTTAATTAAATAAAAAAAACCCTTCTTCCCAAAGACAACGACAACCATCACCATTAAAAAAAACTCCATTGCTGGTCCCCTCCCGGGCCCCACCCGTCACCCTAAAAGCAAAGAGCATAGGTCCAGCACACCAGACAAGCTTTGGATTCCTTCATTCGAGTGCAAAAATTCAATTTGAATCAATTTCAAAAAACTTAAATCGAGGTATTTCGATTTTGTTTATGTCGAAACTCGTATAGTACATGCATATTTGTATTGTTGAATATGTTTCCATGTTAATTTGTGTTATGTTTGTGTTTAAATTTGTATCTTATTTATACCCGGATTGATTTATTAGCTTTGGGACAAAAAATTGTTAAAATTTGATAAATAATTTTTAATGTTAATGTTATGTTTTTATTTGCTTAAATAATAAATAAATATTATTTATTTAGTTTGTTGTTCATATTTGTATGTTATGTTTGTTGTTTTTATATGTAATTGTAACCTTTTAGCGTAATAAAATATAGAGCCTTTTAGCGTAGTAAAATATAGAGTCTTTTAGCGTAGTAAAATGTAGAGCCTTTTAGCGTAGTAAAATATAGAGTCTTTTAGCGTAGTAAAATATAAAGCCTTTTAGCGTAGTAAAATGTAGAGCCTTTTAGCGTAGAGTCTCTGTAGTTTAAGTATGTAGTAACTGCAGACTCTATCCAATTACACTTTACAAAATTAATTATTTAATTTATAAAAATAAACTTACAAAAGTAAAAAAATTAATATATGTTGTCAAATTAACTCAAATATCGAGCTTGAAACCCATACATAATTATTCAGTCCAATATTAAAAATAATTAATTATTTAATTTATTAAGCTAACAAAATTCTAAAAAAGTTAAAATTGACACGCATAATAATTAAGGATAGGTTGGTGCTACCGGACCTCAAATATCGAGCCTGAAACCCATTATTAAGTCCAATTCAAGGAAGTTTAATTTAATTTATTAAACTAACAAAATTCTAAAAATGTTGAAATTGACACGCATAATAATTAAGGATAGGTTGGTGCTACCAGGCCTCAAATATCGAGCCTGGAACCCATAGATAATTATTCAGTCCAATTCAATAATTTTTAATTTAATTCCTTAAACTAACAAAATTCTAAAAATGTTGAAATTAACACGCATAACAATTAAGGATAGGTTGGTGCTACCGGACCTCAAATATCGAGTCTGGAACCCATTCATAATTATTCAGTCCAATTCAATAATTTTTAATTTAATTCCTTAAACTAACAAAATTCTAAAAATATTAAAATTGACACGCATAATAATTAAGGATAGGTTGGTACTACCGGGCCTCAAATATCGAGCCTGAAACCCATACATAATTATTAAGTCCAATACAAGGAATTTTAATTTAATTTATTAAACTAACAAAATTCTAAAAATATTGAAATTGACACGTATAATAATTAAGGATAACTTGGTGCTACCGGGCCTTAAAAATCGAGACCGGAACCCATAGATAATTACTCAGTCCAATATTAAAAATAATTATTTAATTTATTAAACTAACACACACAATTAATTTTCTTTAAATTATAGTAGACGACATGGACTTTCCGCATGCGCATCCTGGACCTGCCGAGGATCAGCTATTAGTGTTGCAGGGCGACCATAGGTCCTCCTTTGTATGGGAGGGACAACTATCGGATGAGCCTCTCCGCGCCAGGAGACCTGACGATTTGTGGGAGTTCATTGCGCAACATCCTTTCCATGCCCGCGTAGTCGCGCGCCTATAGGCTACGGGCTTCTATACGATTTTTCGGATTGGGCTCTCTCATCACGGCCTTGGTGGAGCGGTGGAGATCGGAGACGCATCCTTTTCACTTGCCCACTGGAGAGGCCATCACGCTAGAGGATGTTCAGGTTTTGTACGGGCTGCACGTAGATGGACGGGCTGTGGCACTGCCCCAGTACATTAGATCCATGACGCGTGGACAATATTTGGATATGATGGGGCAGTTTTCTGTTTATAGACCTCAGGGTGACGCTGTACAGAGAGGGGGCAGTCGCGTTGCTTTGTCAGGCATCAGAAATCATATGGAGTTTTTGCACCCAGACATTACCAGCGAGACGGAGGATCTCCATATTGAAAGGTACACGCGGTTGGCGCTGCTCCTGCTTTTCGAGTGTGTCTTGTTCCCGAACACTTCGGGGAGTCTAGTGAGTATGCGTTCTCTCCATCATCTTCAGCAGCTGGATGATTTACCCTTGTACAACTGGGGTGCTGCTGTTCTCGCATACCTGTATAGGAGCATGTGCCGAGCGAGCATGCTTTGCGTGGTGGACATATGTGGATTTCTGCCCCTCCTACAGGTGACAACATTTTCGAATACTCTGTTCATTACTCTGAATTCTATATGGTCGAAATGACTCATAAATTTTACATCAACCTTTTATCTTAGGTTTGGGCCAGGCAGTGGATCATGCCATTGCAACCACCTCTACCACCACTTGTGCCCGGTGAGGCTTATCCGTTTCTCCCTCTAGCTTCTAGGTGGGTTCTCCAGGGTGGGAACTACCGAGGGACCGATGCTCATTATAATCTCCCCCTTGTCAGGGATGTGTTAGATATACTGGTGGACGGACAGGTAAATATGTACCTACACTTACTTGTTATATATTTATGGGATGGCTAGAGCAGCAGGTCCATATTTGGGAGCAGCGAGAGTACCGTATTCCGCCACCACCTTCATTTACCCAGGAGGCCACTATTCATCTGTATACGTCATGGTACCGCCGTCACACCCGACTGATGATCGGGAACCCCATTCATGTACCTGGCGAGCACTACAGATCATACGCCGGGAGACACGAGTCATTGGTATGTTTTGTGGCTTATTAATATCTTATATTTGTTATATAGCGTTATTTTTTTAATATCTTAAGTGTTTCAGAGGCTATTGGGCATCACCTGGTCTACCGGTTGGGACAGGAGATGCAACAACATACCGATAGTGCTGCACTCGTTAAGTATGACCAGCGGGTGGCAGATCTGGCTCGTCGGACCCTGTTTTAAGCGAGAGATGGCGCGAGGTTGGATCACGAGGCTCAGTATGCGATGCCAGAGGACTGCCATCGGGGTAGGGCTGTCCCACGAGGCAGGGTAGGGCACGAGGGAGGGGTTCCCCACGGGGTCGCGGGGGATGGAGAGGATGTGGTCCCCAACAATGGGGCGTTGAGGCACCTGTCGACCCACCTGTTGAGGGACATGATGAAGATTTTGGAGATGAGGATCTTGGAGATGATCAGCCGGGTTATATACCTCAGGTAGATGAGCTTTCCAGCAGCATGCCGTCATACAACCTTCAGCTATCTCTGCCAGCATCGCAGGTCATCCCGTCAGGAGCATTGTCGATCATGGGTACATTCGACGGTATGTAGACCAGTACTTTGCATTCCCATCTACTATAGCTGAGGATCGGCCGACCCGGGACGTGGATGGCGGGCGCAGGTTGAGTTATGCTTCATCCCCGGCGGCTGATGCGGATCTACCACAGGCGCAGGTATGTTTGTATTACTTTAAAAGTTCAATTTGTTTCTTTTCCTTAATGAGTTGCCTTTAATTAATTTTTAACTTTCTTATGAAGGCTTCGTCCCAGCCCATCTTTGAGGCCACTATATGCTTTGATGAGGACACCACGGATGCATATACTCAGGAGGCCGACTAGACCACGGTGAGAAAATGTTTTTTTGACTTAACACGTACAATACAAATATACTTTGTCACATGCTAAGATTAGTACTTGTTTTGTAGGTTGCTGGCAGCCCGGCGGCCTATTCTTCCGATCCTGCCAGTTGTGGTGTCGATGCTGCTGCACATCCTCACATAAAGAGGCGGCTTGATGATGATGATCCAGATAGTGTACCCGAGCGAGAGGCGATGCGACTCAGGCCAGCAGCAGCACTGAAGCACACAGGCTGTGGGACTCATTGATTTACTTATGTTTTTACTTTGTGTAAATAGTGCATTATGTAAATAATGGTAACACTTATCTTTTAACAACAATTTTATTTTAATTGCGTTTGAACAACAATTTTACTTTAACAGTACAACACAAGCACAAACCTTGCAAACCTAACACAAAAACAAATAGTAGAACTAATGAAAACACTGGGCAAATGAAACATAAAGATACACTACAACGCTCAACACGTACATGTCATTGTTTAGTCACTACCGCCTAGTATTCTCTGCTTCATCCACTCGAGCTTGTTTTCCAACTTTTTTTTCTCTTCTTCCGCCTTCTTGAGTTTCGCCTTCAACTCTGCAATTTGAAGCTTGGATTGGCGCTCTCTGTCCCACTGCCCCGTACACACATCATGAAGATGATACAATTTGTCTTTGTAATATTCCTGCTCACATGGTTCATCAATCCATACCTTAAAATTGCATGTAGGTACGCCGGGTTGCCTATAAATCATGTTCATACACGCCCAGTAGCGGCGTCCAGCTTCTTCCCAACAATCGTACATCATGCTTTTGATTCCACAGTCGCACTTTGGGCAATAAAAGGGTTGTCGAGATATTTCTTAAAGAGAAACTTTGGTTTTATGGAAATATTTGTTATAGGTTGTCGTTAAGCGCAAAATATAACTAGAATGCGCTAGTTATTTATAGGCAAGATTTCACATATGACGTAGTATTATACCACGCTTTACATACACGTAAAACGTAGTATTATACCACGCTTTGCATATTAAATTTCTCTGAAACGACATTGTTTTATCACATGGTTTTCAGCTTTTTCAGAACGACATGACAACTCAACAAAGCGTAGTATTATACTGCGCTTTACATATTATTAAGATGCAAGGAAACAACTTTTTCACATGCGTTTCTAGATTTTTCCGATTGACAAGACAACTCCATAAAACATAGTACTATACCACGCTTTGCATATTACAAACGTAATCTTATACCACGCTTTGCACATAATTTTTTTTAAATTTTTTAGATTGGTGTTCTTTAGTGACACCAATACGTTGAATATTTGAACAATTCTATGAAGAAAATAATACATTATGTAGATAATGGCAACAATTCTAGTTTAACGACACACCTTATTGTGAAAGAATTTGAACAATAATTTTATTTAAACATGACAACACAAACACAAACACGGCAAATCTAACGATACACATAACAAAAATAAACAGTGGTTCATCCATTAGAAGATACACTAGTAGAACTAATGAAAAGATACACTAGTACGCTCAACAAGTACAAGCCACTGTTTAGTCACGACCGTGTACTATTATTTGCTCCAACCACTGGAGTTGGTCTTCCAGCTTTTTTTTCTCTTCTTCTACCTCATTGAGTTTCACCTTCAACTCATCAATTTCTTGGTTGGTTCGGCGGTCGCGTATCGCTTGCCTCGTACAGGTAATATGAAGATCATAAATTCTTTCTTTGTAGTACTCCTGGTTACATGGTTCATCCATCCATACCTCAAATTCACATGTAGGCTTGTCGGGTTGTTCGTCCTCCTTGTTCATACATGCCCAGTAGCGGCGTCCACCATCTGGCCACCATTTGTACAAACTGCATTTTTCTCTAAAATAGCACCTTGGGACATAAACGGGTTGTTCAGACATTTCTTAAAGAGAAACTTTGGTTATTGTTAAGTGCAGAACATAAGTAGCATGCGCCCGTTATTTATAGTCAATATTTCACACAAAATGTAGTATTATACTACATTTAAGTTATGGAGTTAAACGACATGACAACTCAACAAAACATAGTATTAAACCACGCTTTACATATTAAAGTTATTTTGCAACAAAACAGGTTTTTCACATGGTTTTCAGCTTTTTCAGAACAACATAACAACTCAACAAAACGTAGTATTATACCACGCTTTACATATTAAAGTTATTCTGCAATTAAACAGCTTTTTCTTCAGTCATTCCAACTTTTTGAGAACGACAATACAATAGATAAAACGTATTATTGTACCACGCTTTACATATTAGATTTACTTTTTAATACGTAATTTTTTATTCCACATTCTTGGTCTTCTTTACTAACACAAATAAGTTTAATATTTGAACAACCATATCAAAACGTCACATTAAAAAATAAGATGTAACAAAATTGTGGAACATAATTTTATTTGATATATATTGCAACATACACAAGTACAGACACATATTAACCAAAACAAAAGACTAGGGGTATCCTTGATAGTTGGGTACATTCGACGAACTTGCTCCAGGAGCTGGATTACCACCTCCACGCTCACCACCTGAAGGACATTTACGACAGTCGTGTCCTGGCTGCGAGCATATGCCACATTTACGCGCATAAACGGTGTCACCAACATCCATTTGGTTCCGTATACGCATTCTCTTTTTCACTTGTAGTTTGCGCAAATAGTCCTTGTTACATATCATCTTAAAAGGTTCCGGCGACCAATAATGCTCAACACCTATTGGCTGCAATTTCCCGCTATACGTGTCTACGTATTCAGCAACACTGTATTGCCTATCAATATAGTTGGTTGCCCCATATCCAACTTGTTGAAAGCACTTCAACGCATGTGCGCACGACATATGATAGATGGTCCATTTCCCACAAGAACAAAACCTTCTGGCTTCATTCACCATCTGTAGATTATTTCCACGGTGTCCGCGTATAGCGGTCTTAACTTCAAAAATACCCCGGTCATCATCGTACTGTAGAAACGAATGCCACTGTGCTCGCCTACTATACCTTTCAAATCTTCTCATGGGTATTGGCATAAATTGAACACCCCTATCCATCAATGTCGATGCAGCTCCATGCCTTTCAACTAACCTCTCCACACTTTGTTTGAATGTCATACAGACCATCGCAGTGACAGGCAGTCCACGGGCAGACTTACTCCGACATGTTTGTAGTGAGGGCTCCCCATCGTCTATTGCCATCAGCATGCAATGTCCACATGTGAAGCTCATGTCCCATCAACCAAGTATAGGCTCGTGGATCTATCTGCCGAATCGCTTCCATGCGCCTGGTGAATTTGCACTGCTGGTAGTCAGTTGCAGCCATCCACATTAAGTCATGCAAAGCCTTGTCAGGATATTTCTTCTGGAAATTAGCCTTCAGGTGCCTCACACAGTAATGGTGGTATGTATATGGTTCCTGCCATTCAGGCAAGTGTCGTACAAAACTTAAAATACCACCATGTCGATCAGATATTAGAAAAATACCTGAATGCTGTTTGACAACGTGCTGCTTCAAGTGGTTCAAGAAAAGCGTCCACGTCTCTTCGCTTTCGTTGGCACAAATGGCAAAAGCTAGTGGAAATATTTGTCTGTTGGCATCTACTGCAACTGTAATCAAAAGCTTAATATGATACTTTCCATAGACATGAGTACTGTCTATGGAAATTACAGGACGGCAATGCACAAAACCATCAATTGCTGCTTTAAATGACCAGAACACATAGTTGAAAATATATTCGGGTCTGTCCGGACTACGCTCACGCCTCCATTCAACAACAGTGCCGGGGTTAAAGTGTTGCAGTGCGGCCATGTACCTGGGCAGATTTGAAAAAGACTTATCCCAGTCGCCATAAATAAGTTCAAAGGCACGTTTGCGACCAAGATATGCCTTTCTTTTGGTTATAGTACAACCATACTCTTGGCGGACGACTGTAATACACTCTTTAATCTTGAACCTAATGGACACTTCCAAATATGGAATCAAGACAAGAGAAATCAAGTCCACATCCAGATTGAAATGATTCTCATTGAATGTGTCCATTTCACATCTGTGGGTGCTAATAGATTTATCCACTTTCCACAAACCTGATTTCTTCTTGCTGGTACGCAACATCCAGTGACAACCCATAAAGTCTCTATGGCATACAACCTTGTATACCTCCGTAGTTGACTCACTTACTATCATCTCACGACACTCTCTTATACTGTAGATTTTTACAGCCCTAATTAGGCGAGCTTTGTCGGGGAAATACATGCCCTTTGTCAGAACAGCTGGTCTAGACTCATCCCATATCGCTGACCGAATTTCGTCATCATCCCTTGTGAGGGCATCCACGTTCGGCATACTTGGAAAATTATCAAAGTAGGGAATATTACGCTCATGAAATGGCACATGGGACTCGTACACTCTTGGTCTAGTGGGATGTGGAGGAACATGCTCCCTCGTCAGCTTAGGTTCAACATCCGCTTCCTCCTCCTCCTCATCACCCTCATCATGGAAGGGTGTGTCATCTCCAAACTCATCCGCATTGTTGTCATAGTCACTATCATCTTCCTAACTCTGCGCATCTGCCAACTCAAGAGTGAATACGTCGTCTATGGGCAACTGTGTGAGGTCAGCAACATCAAGAAGCTCATTTTTACTACACAAAAAGAACAAAATGATAAGTTACCCAACTAGATAAATACTTTAGAAATAGATATATCACTTTACTTACAAGTCGTACTGTCTTGACGTTTCATGATGGATATTTTCTTGTTGGTGATGACCCCCGGATGGACCACCGTGGTCCAATACTCTAGAACTACGAATATTCCAGCTAGGGGCGGGGTCATAACTTGTAAAATTTATATCCGGGCGGTACCCCCTATGAAAAATATGAGTGTTAATACAAATCCAATTCAAACATAAAATAAACATCGCTAAAGCGTAGAAAAATTGAAGTTTACCAGTCGTCTTGTGGATTATATAAAGTAGAAAAATTATTTTGTGGTTGCTCATTCGCCGGTGGTGACAAGTTTAAATCAAGGCAAGCTCTTTCATCGGCAATCTGTCCGGCAAAAACTGCTCCAGAATAACCACCCGATGACTGGGGGGTATCCCTACTATGCACGCCCTCATTATTGGGAACGTCTTCCACCTTGACGTACATTTCCAACAATTTTATTACAATAAATTCCCTGTATTCATCCGAAATTTGCAAAAAATCTC